GGAGCACTAGTTATCTATGGGCTGGAGCGATAGCACAGTGGGTAGGGCGTTCGCCTTACAAGCGGCCAACATGGCCGACCCGAGTTCGATTCCTCCGCCCCTCTTGGAGAGCCCGGCAAGCTACCGAGAGTATTCGATATGCCAGACACAGTAACAACAAAGTCTCCAATGGAGACGTTACTGGGCCCGCTCGAGCAAATCGACGATCAACGGGAGGGCCTTTATCTATAGTCTAGGTAGCACTGTAGCACTGTCCTCCTGTTGTTCATTGATTTGCTCAAGTGGGCATCAGTAATAGCTCCATTGTGAGACTTGTTGTTACTGTGTTTGGCATATCGAATACATCACGAGTAGCTTGCCAGGCTTTGCCTTCCGGGGGATACTCTCGGTAATTTCCAGGGCTCTCCGAGAGGGCTGGAAGAATTGAACCTGGGTCAGCCACATGCAAGACAAACGCCCGACCTTCTGTGCTATCCTTCCAGCCCCTAGAGTAGGTAAATGATATTATTATTTTGTGGATTAGCAGTTTATTAAATTATAAATAACAACTATAAGCCATTGCTCAATTATGGACTTTAGGTACATGGCTTCTATTCAAGATGTCTGAGTTAGTTATATTCATTAAGGTAAAGGTAAAGGTAAAGGCCCTCCCGTTGATCATCGATTTGCTCGAGCGGGCACAGTAACGTCTCCATTGGAGACTTTGTCGTTACTGTGTCTGGCATATCGAATACTCTCGGTAGCTTGCCGGGCTCTCCGAGAGGGGCGGAGGAATCGAACTCGGGTCAGCCATGATGGCCGCTTGTAAGGCGAACGCCCTACCCGCTGTGCTATCACTCCAGATGTTATATTCATTAAATGACTTTAATTCCTGACTGAATTGATAAATTAGTCACAGTTAATGTTTATCAATCACCACATATATGCCTTTTTTAAAAAGTCTATACTTGAACTATTGTTTTGAACATCACAGGCTATTTTTTAAAATGAAAATACAGTCTGCATAATGTAGAAATTGATAATGAATATAGACATTATAGCAAAGGTGTCTAATTAACAGATACTTTTAGAAAGGAACTGGGGCCAGAACGATAGTGCAGTGGGTAGGGTACTTGCCCTACTCTTGGCTGACCCATGCTTGATCCCAAGCACTCCAGATAGTCCCCTGAGTCTACCAAGGTAGAGCCAGGAGTAGGCCATGAGCACCATTGGATGAGGCCCTAACTTCCAAATAATAATAATAACTTAAATTATAAATAATTTAGAAGAATAATCAGTTTTAGAGTGATGTAATTTGTGATTTTATCCATGATGTTTTGTATATGCATAGCAGGGAAAGAATTCTATTTTAAGGCTTAAAATTAAGCAATAGACAAATATGTACACATATAAAAGATACAGTGGAAATATACTAATAAATAATCTATCTGAAAGGTTAGATGGATGTTTAAAACTAAGTCAAATCACAAATGCAGTTATGTCACAAAGTCATTTTTGTTTCATTGAATAAATTAATAATTAAAATAACCACTTTTTTCAGATAGAAACCACACAAATTAAACTCAACATAAAATAAAGGTTTAAATTTTGATGAGTATTTTCCAAGTGTGTCGTACTTTTGAAGCAAAATGAAATTCATTAGCCAGAGGTCACGAGATATAATGGTAAATATAGTTTTTTCTTGGAAAATAAAATAAAAGCAGTATCTCAAACACCAACATACTATTCCCTACCAATTCCTTGGGTACTTGTTAGGGGGTAGTATGTTTTAGCTCTTTATATACGGGGAAGGGGACACAGAGTTGTTGACTACAATTTCTTATATTAAACCAAGTAATATGAAAATTGAGTAAAATATTACTTGGACCAAACATTTCTTCAAACTGCAAAAAATGGCAACATAACGCAGTGGACAAGACTATAGACCTTTTTTTTTGGGGGGGGGGCGCATTCTATTATGATCACAAATCCTGTTATGCCTTGCACGCGGCCTCCAGTTCAATCTTCAGCAACCTTGTAGGGTCTCCTGAGCACCGCCAGTAGTGATCCTTGAGCTCAGAACCAGGAGTAAACTCTGGGCATGGACCCCCAAAATTACAAATAAATATTTGATTAATGTTTTTCTCCATAATTAAAATAGAAGAATGGAAGAATTAAAATTAAGAAGTTTTGTTCTATAATTTGATACTATAGCATTTTTGTCTGATAATAAGTTAAAGCTACAATTAGAAGTTGTCCTCCCTACTACGTCACAATCACGATCACGATCCTCCCGTTGATCATCGATTTGCTCGAGCGGGCCCAGTAACGTCTCCATTGGAGACTTTGTTGTTACTGTGTTTGGCATATCGAATACTCTCGGTAGCTTGCCGGGCTCTCCGAGAGGGGCGGAGGAATCGAACTCGGGTCGGCCGTGTGGGCTGCGTGCAAGGCGAATGCCCTACCGCTGTGCTATCGCTCCAGCCCTACTACCTAGCTGTTAGAAAAGATGAAGTCATGAAATTTACATACAAGTGGTACAATATGGAAAGTATCATGCTAAGCGAAATGAGTCAGAAAGAGAGGGATAGACATAGAAAGACTGCATTCATTTGGGGAATATAAAGTAACAAAATAGGAGACTAACACCCAAGAATAGCCGAGATCAGCACCAGGAGGATTACTCCATGGCTTAGAGGCCAGCCAGGCATTCTAGGGGAAAGGGCAGCTCAGATAGAGAAGGGAGCACCAAATAAAGGTGTTTGAAGGATCCTCCCAGGAGGGGAGATGCATGTTGAAAGTAGACTATGGACTGAACATATTTGCCACTCAATGCCTCTTTTGCAAACCACAACACCAAAAAGGAGAGAGAGAACACAAGGGATTGCCCTGCCACAGAGGCAGAGTGGGATGGGAGGGAGGGGGGTGGGAGGGATATTATCCATGGTGGTAGAAAATGGGCACTGGTGGAGGGATGGGTATTTGATCATTGTATAATCGAAACCCAAGCACAAAAAAATTGTAAATCTACAACTGTACCTCATGGTGTTTCACTAATAATAATAATAAAAAAATTAACAATCGTGAAAAAAAAAGAAGTTGTCCTCCCGTTGTTCATCGATTTGCTCGAGCGGGCCCAGTAACGTCTCCATTGGAGACTTTGTTGTTACTGTGTCTGGCATATCGAATACGTCACGGGGAGCTTGCCAGGCTCTGCAGTGCGGGCGAGATACTCTCGGTAGCTTGCCGGACTCTCCGAGAGGGGCGGAGGAATCGAACCCTGCTGGGCCGGGCTGGCTGCGCGCAGGGCAAACGCCCTACTGCTGTACTAAAATTCATTAGTCTTGGGCCAGAGAGATGGAACAGCAGGTAAAGTTCTCGGTTTGCCTATGATCAACCTCGATTCAATCCCTAATACCACATCTAGTCTCCAAGCACCACCAGAGTGAGTTATCGTCAAACTGAGAACCAGGGATAAGCCCTGAGCACTACCAGGTGTGGCCAGAAACAAGCAAAAGATAAGAAAAAAATTTAAAATGTTAGAGTAGCAGTGTCGAGGCACTGTCCTCTTGTTGTTCACCGATTTGCTCGAGTGGGCACCAGTAATGTCTCCATTGTGAGACCTGTTACTGTTTTGGCATATCGGATACACCACAGGTAGGTTGCCAGGCTCTGCCATGCGGGTGGGATACTCTTGGTACCTTGCCGGGCTGTCCAAGAGGGACGGAGGAATCAAACCTGGGTTCACCTCATGCAAGGCAAACGCCCTACCCGCTTTGCTATCGCTTCACCCAAAATGTTAGAGTATCTTTGGTAATTCATTACATGATATTCAAAGCTTTCTTGACAAGAGACATAATAGTCTCTTGAACTAGGGTGCGGTAGTAATAGAACTAGAATAGAGTATAGGTAATGACTTATTTACATTTATGTCTTTTGCAACTGATTAGAAAATCATGTCAGTCATTGAGCTAGGGAGTACTTAAATAGGACCAGGATTAATTTTACTTTCATTTGAATGAATTTAATTCAATATGCTTTTGAAATATCCAAATGGAAGTGTCAAATGACATCTGGATATATAAAGGTCTGAGGCTTTGGATTAGTGTCATGTATATGATATATTCTTATTTATAGTTGTTTATTAAAGTCATAAATATATACGATACATCTTGAGTCTTGAAGAGAAAATATATTTGCAAAACTCTCATATCTAGAGACAGCAAAGCAGACTACACTCAGACAATAGAAAAGTAACAATCTGAAAAAACACAAAATCTAGGAAAGCAGTTGATTCATGAAAGAGTGGTTAATAGCTCTGTGTCCTCCATGGAATTAAAGTGTGCTGACGACTGAAAATTGCCAACCCTACACCTGGGGAAAGTCATATAATTGGAATTATTGTTTCTAAAAGCTAGACTAAGTGATAGAAAGGTGTATAAAAATTAGTTGATAGTATATTCAGTGCATGTATAATCAGGGTAGAGAACTATTTGCTAAGCAAAAAATAAATTAAGATGATTGTTAAAAGATTGAGTCGAAGTAATTCTTAACAGGATATATTTTTCAATAAGTCTCAGCATGAATCCACTAAAGGCGTGATAAATAAAAAGAGGAAGGGATAATCAAGAGAGACTGTGGTGGCGATGGCTAAATTAATATCTCTCCCCAGGTTTTCACAGTTACAAACTGGGAAATATAGCACCAGAATCATAGAATTGCTCTGACAATTAAACAATAAAATGCTAGTAGTCTGAGTAAAAATTTTGGCTTGCAGTATGAATTTAATATATTGGTACTTAAAAATGAATCCAGCACCTGGCAGAGTTTTGTATGTAGTTGATACTCAATAAATATATGCTTACTGTTACCTAGATAGTTATACTGTATGATTTAATTAGCTGCGAGCAAAATTCCTGATGTATATTTACATATCCTAGATTTTGAATGCCCCTAACTGAGAATGAGTTTTGACATTTACCATCTGGTGATTTTGATGTTTTGTGTATTTGTTTCCATAGGGTACTATTTTTCTGCCTGGAAATAAAGTTGTTGAGCATCCTTGCAATGAAGAAAACCCAGGAAAATTCCTTTTTGAAGTAATTCCAGGTAAGATATTTTTCTGGTTCTCTTAAATTATTGCCATTCCTTGTTGGTAAAAGAGAAGACAGTTCAAACAGCCTTAATCATCGCTATGAGCATTAGTTGAAGAGGCGCTTGTCAAGTTCTGTTGTATTTACCCAGCTAATGACTATAGGTTTGTACATTGGCATAAATGAATTTGTGCACATGTGGATACATAACCACATGATAATTGTTTTTCATTTGTTATTGAGGTTTAAGACTTGACCAGAAGTCATGATATGACATTTATAAATATTTGCTGAAGACATTTATTTTCCAGTGTTTTTATAATATGAAATTCAGCTAGTGGACATTTTTTTGCTCCTTTGTCAAAGATTTGTTGGCAGGTGTCATGCTTTGTCTAAGCTGTATCTTAAAGAGATGAAAAAAAAAAGTCAAACAAATGCCCTCCTATAAGTGACCGATGAGATGTTGTAGTTTTGTTACTCACCCAAACATTTTCACATGTTTGGCTGGAAGTCTTGAGGACATCTCTGCTAAACCATCAGCAGAGATTTCTTCAACATCTGCTCATTGCTCCTAGTATTTACATCCTTCGTTCACATAGTATTCTACACCCAAATTTCTTCAAACCCATGATCTACTTTGATCAGTTCCTTCGTCCTTTCTTAAATCTTGATGTTAAAGGAATAGTTCTAGATATATTTTAATAGCATTGACTCTAGTTGATAGAGTTTATGGGATATTGACATCGAGTTAGTCACAATCTCTGGACTGTAAATGTATTTTTGTGTAATCAATATGTAATTCCTATCAATAATGCTGTTACAAAGGCAGCAGTCAATCAAAACATTTCCCCAGACATATAAATCCTGGGACTCTAAAATGTGAAAGCATATTTTCCCCTCAATGAAAACATCTGTGCCTCATGATGGAATCCATGACTAAATGTTGATTAACGCAGCTGAAGTGCAGAAAGGTTAGTCAGATGCGTCGTGTTATTTGTTTCCCCGTGGGGAGAACATATTGTAAGAAACCTGAATCTTATTTGCCTTATTAAAATCTTCTTATTCTTCCTGCTTAGTGGAATACACTGAATGGAACCACATTCCAGATGTTTCAAAGGTCTTTGAAGTATCAGTGGAGTACATTTCCATCCCTATTTATTCTTAGACATTAATGCCTATTGGCTTTTTAAAATGGGCATGGTGATATTTTGATGGCTTTGACTATTTTGTTTTATAGTGAAGACTTTATTTTTTTTTTGTTCGATTTACTGTGCAGAGATTTCGTCTTTGGGTAAATATTCTTTAACATCAAATAGATGTGTATCATCAAGATTGTTCTAGAGAAAGATGTATCATCAAATTCAGCAAGTCACAAACTTTTCTAATCAGCCATTCCTAGGCATGGGTGGGAGTCAATACATGTGACATAATGACTTTTAATGAGCAAATTTAAAGATATTTAGGATTCTTGGATGTGGAGTATGAACATGAACCTTTTAAAAAAATCGTAAGTGGGAGACAGAGAGATAGTACAAGATAGTACAGAGGGTAGGATGTTCCGGCTCCTCATATGCTTCCCCAAGCCTGCCAGAGTGAACCCTGAGCACAAAGTCAGGAGAAAGTCCAGACACACCCAGATGTGGCCTGCAAACAAAAAAACCTAAAGGAAATTGAGGATTGTCTAAATAATAATGGATTGAAATGTACTGTGTCCATAGCTCATTTGAAGACTCTTGCTGGATCATTAAAGATGGTATATAGTAATTTCTTTTTATGGGGGGGTGGTATGTAGTAGTTTCAAAATTAGGCTTTATAGTGTTGAATTATCCTATGGCATACCAAAAAAATTTTTCCAAACACTTCTCTTAAAAGGGAGGTGGAAAACCAATAGCAACATTGAGAATACAGCGTTTGTGCGATTGATCTAATTGATTGGGACTTCCTTGAATTTCTTGGTATCTCAGATGAAATTTTCAGTGCACAGACGTTTTCTGTGCATTGTATTTACATGAGAACATGGGAAAGTCTACATCATATTATTTTAGTCAAGTTTTGCAATATATGCTATAAATATGCTATAAAAACCAGCTCCCGGAAGAGAACAGTGCAGTCTCCTGCCCCTGCGCCTGGCTGTCCTCGCCGCGGCCCCTTGGAGGGGAGCGGGTTGAGCTTTCCTCCCCGCCCCGACCAGGGCTCCGGCAGCCGAAGACATCTTATTATGACATCTTATTCCTACTTTGGACAAAACAACCAAAACAAGTTGGTTGTGTGCAAGGCAACACATCTTATTCCTACTTTGGACAACACACGGCAGAGTCTGGCAAACTCCCCGTGGCATACCCAATATGCCAAATACCAGTAACAATGATGGGTCTCATTCTCCTAAAGAGCCTTGAATATAATCTCAGGGCTAGGATGAAGGAGACGTTACTGAGGCCTGCTCGAGGCAATCGACGAATAACAGGATGATTTGTGATTTGTGATTTGTGAAGTTTTGCAAAATTAATATTATTGTAATATAAAGTAATAGTTAACTTTTCTTTGCTAGTGGAATCACAGGTAATATTTTCTGATTATCCCAGTTGTGTAATAGTTTGACATGAAGAATCTGGAGAGTTCTAAGAGAGTTTTCATTTATCAAGAAGTGTTGGTGACAGGGAACATTGCAGAAATGGTCATTGTACGGAATCCTCTGCACATGTATTAGGCACCAGAATCTCAGGACACACACCTGGTCTATCACCTGATCCATGCTTATTTTTTTTTTATTAGTGAAACATCATGAGGTATAGTTGTAGACTAACAAACTTTCGTGCTTGGGTTTCAGTTATACAGTGATCAAGTACTCATCCCTCCCCCTGGTCTATGCTTGTTTCCTCTTTGGAACTCTCTTGATTGTCACGTTCGAAAACTCATCTTAGCAACAATATTTATAAATCAAACACCGTTCTATATTTATGGATATGCCTCAAGCCCAATTACCCAAGTTACATAATGAATAGAATTGAATATTTTAATTCTACCTTCCAATATTTTCACACAATGAGTGACAGCATTTTGTCAAGTGTTCTAGCACTGTAGCACTGTCCTCCCATTGTCATCGATTTGCTCGAGCGGGCCCAGTAATGTCTTCGTCGTGAGACTTGTTGTTACTGTGTTTGGCATATCGAATACGACATGGGTAGATTGCCAGGATTTGCCGTGTGGGCGAGATACTCTCAGTAGCTTGCTGGGCTCTCTGAGAGGGGTAGAGAAATCGAACTCGGGTCAGTCAAGTTGGTTGTGTGCAAGGCAAACACCCTACCGCCGTGCAGTGTTCTAGCATTATATATGTACAAACACAGAGCATTAGTAGTATGCTATATGTCTTTATTAGTTGTTAATGTATGTTAGGTAGGTAGGGTTTTTTGCTTTATTTAAGTTTTTCTTTTGCTTTAGTCTGAAATGTCTATAAAGCACTAATCGTGTGCAGATAATAAAAAAAATTTCAATCAGAAGAAGCTCTCTGTTCTTTGTTTATTACTTGTTTAGATTCATTTCTAAGCAATGTTTAGGTTTTTGTAAAATCCCATCTGAAAAAGCCCTGCCATGATTGAAAATTAAATTCTCAATTTTCAATGAAATTTTCAATAAAAAATCTACCCCAAGAAAATTAATCTTTCTCAATAATACCATGACTTTTAGGATTTCATTTCAATTTCCCCCCTAATTTTTCTACTTATTATTCAAACATGAAACTTTGGCCAAATTGGCAAATTTTTCCTGTCAAACATGCCAAATTTTAGACTTTTATGGCCCATGCTAAGCTTTTGGGAAATGTGACTGGGAAAAGAATGTTGGCAGACCTTTAATATATAGAGCTTGAAGAAATAAAATGCACTCGGTACCTTAGTGTCTCAGAATGTATTCAGGGAAAGTGTTCTTTGTGGTTTTTTTTTAAGTGTAATTATAGCACAGCGGGTAGGGTGTCTGCCTTGCACGCAGCCAACATGGCCGACCCGAGTTCGATTCCTCCGCCCCTCTCGGAGAGCCTGGCAAGCTACCGAGAGTATTCGATATGCCAGACACAGTAACAACAAAGTCTCCAATGGAGACGTTACTGGGCCCGCTCGAGCAAATCGACGATCAACGGGAGGGCCTTTACTTACTTACTTTACTTATGGAATAATAATGATTTAACTTTCTTAGGAGAATGGTCCATCAGAGAGAAAAAAGAATCCTGATTCAGTCAGATGGTGGCAAAAGCCAAAAAGAGAGGAGCGGATACATGCTTTACCTAAAGTTAGAAAGAAAGAATCTTTCTTCCTCATTGCTGTGTTTCTCATGCCTCATGTAGTATAATGTAAGGTGCGTAATGCATATTTATTTATGAGCACATTTACCAGGTTTAAGGAGGATTCTGAATCTTATGAAATGATTCTATTCTAACTACTCCCAACCTGAATATACTGAAATCTTACTGCCTGCTCTCTGGGAGTTGTTTTTTTCCCCATCCCTAGGTAGATAAAGTCCTTTGTTATGTCTCAAGTGGCCACTGCAATAGAGGGGAAATCCTCACTTGTTCCCTACTTCTCCATCTTCAGATCTAATATCAGAAAAAGAGAGAAGAGAGAAGGCAGTAATCTTCCTAAACAAAAACATTGAAGATTCTCTAAAGATTGACTTTCTGCCAGGGTGCACTTGTGGATTCTTTTTTTTTAACTGTAAAACATTAAATAGATAGATTTTTATTACTGGTGGAAGTATATTAACCTAAATATTAAATTGCAGTCTTACACTATATGACCATTTTTTTTATTAGTGAAACACCATGAGGTACAGTTATAGACTTACACATTTTTGAGCTTGGGTTTCAGTTATACAATGATCAAGTACCCATCCCTCCACCAGTGCCCATTCGCCACCACCACGGATGCCAGTATCCCCCCCCATCCCACCCTGCCTCTGTGGCAGGGCATTCCCCCTTGTTCTCTCTCTCTTCTTTTGGGTCCTGTGTTTTGCAAGAGAGGCATTGAG